ATAAAAAAAAAAAAAAAAAAAAAAAAAAAAAAAAAATCAAAAAAATAAAGAATTATGAATGCCAGTTTTGGAATTCTTTTTAGAATGCTGTAAGTTTTTCATAAGCACTCTTGATAAAAATTCTGTCACCTTGTTTCTAGGTAAAGAACACTTAAAATGAGATCTGATTGCTTGGCAAAAATAACTCTGAAATGAAATCTAGTGGAATAGACAAAATACTTTGGTTTTGTTCTTTTGTGCTGTCTTTTTGTCCTGCACCACTTGGCCCTGGCACCACCTGTCACTCACCAGTCAGTTCAGGTCCATCATGGCATTTCTTTCTCTAAAAATACATTCGAAGCTGGGGATTTAGCTCAGTGGGGCTGCTGCCTGCCTCGCAAGCACAAGGACCCAAGTTCAATCCCAGGTACCAAAAAAAAAAAAATCAACTAAAAATACATTTGAGCCAGGTGTGGTGACACATGTCTATAATCCTGGCACTCAGAAGGATTGGTGTGAGTTCAAGGCCAGCCTGAACTACATAGTGAGATCCCTCTCAAAAAACCAGGGGAGAAAAAAAAAAAACCCAAAACCAAACCCAAAACAAAATGTAGCACTAAAGTGCACGTATGTTTGCCACACCTAAGAGACCATTGGCTGACTGTGTTTCTTCCATTTCTCCATAGTCTTTTTCCTCCTGCTGCCTTTTATGTTGGTATGGTTCTGATCTCTGAGCTCTTCTTGTTTTATTTGAACATTACAATGCATAGTATGGTAAAAATACTGTAAATTCTGCAGCTTACAATTCACTTATTTATTTATGTATATATTTTGAGACAGGGTTTCCCTATCTGGTTCAGGCTGGTCTTGAACTCACTATGTATCCCAGGCTAGCCTCGAACTTGCTGTGATCCTTCTGCCTCAGCCTCCTGAGTGCAGGGATTGCAAGCCTGCACCTATGTGCTCAGCTTATGTAGGATTTATTTGTTTGGTTTGCTCCATGTGGATAGTATAGCACATTAATAATAGAGAAGTGCATACTAATCTGCTATACGTATTGTAGTTTGCAAAATCTAGCCCTCTTGGTAAATATTTAGTTTCCAGTTGGGCTTTTATAAGCAATGCTATATAAACTTTCTGAACATTGGGAAGAGTTTTGTGTGATTAGGTCCTTAGATTAATTCTCAGAAGCAGAATTTGCAGAAACGCTGGCAACATATTGCTCTCATTCTGTTCTTGCTCAGAATATATGTAGAGGATGTGTAAGACTAGAAAACTTTGTTTGATTTTGGTGGTGCTGGGATCCACCTCTTGTGCAAGGCGTGTGCTGTATTACTGAGCTACACCCCCAGCCCTGAGACTTATGTAAATAACATCTGAGGTTTTGAATTATTTGGCCAAAAACAGGCTGTTTCATAAAAGAAGTCAGTGTGTGGTAAGATGTGTTTACCATTAAAATATATATACTCTTACACTTTTGGATAATAAAATGTTTTTTGTCAGATAATGATTATTTTAAGATTATTTTAGCTGGGCGTGGTGGTGCATACCTGTAATCCCAGCACTCAGGAGGCTGAGGCAGGAGGATTGCTGTGAATTCGAGACCAGCCTGGGCTGGTTCCAGGTCAGTGTCAGCTACATAGTGAGACCCTGTCTCAAAAAACCAAAAAAAAGATTGTTTTAATTGTTTTTAAAGAGGCTGGACTGGGCATGGCAACACATGTATAATCCCAGCTATCAAGAGGCAGGAGAATCACAAGTTCGAGGCCAGCTTGGACAACTTAGTGAGATCCTGCTCAAAATAAAGTTTAAAAAGGGCTTGAGAGTAGCTCATTGTAGAGTACTGGCCTGGTAACTGTGAGGCCCTGGGTTCAAATCTCTAGTACCACACCAAAAAAAGAAGAAAAACAAAATAGAAAGGCTAGGATTACCCTCATCTAGCAAAGTTTCCTGTGGTGGTTTGCAATTGAAACTCATATGTTTCTATTTAGAAATTTTCCCCCCCAATCCCTTGTTTTTGAGATGGAGTCTCACGCATTGCCCAGGAGGGCTTCAAACTCATGATCCTCGTGCCTTAGCCTCTTGAGTATCTGGGATTACAGGCTAGAAATCCTTAGATTTGGATACGTTAGGAAGATAGTAAGGACTGCATAGAGAAAGTAAGTACTATTCAGCGCAGTGAAAGGAACAAGACACAGTGTTTGATGACCTTGTTTCCTGTTATGAGATAGAAACAGGAGAGAAGAGTGGAAACACTTCTGAGAACACCACAGATGGAGTTGGTGCCTTCCTTTTGTGAATCAGGTGGCGGATTCCCCGCCAGTACTGAACTCATAGTTCAGGGGGCTTGTACATGCTAGGCAAGTGCTCAACTACCGAGCTACATCCCTAGCTCTTTTTATTTTGTTTTGAAACAGGGTCTTGCTAAGTTCTCCAGGCTGGCCTCAAACATTGCAGTCTTCCTGTTTCAGCCTCCCAGAGAGCTGGGATTAGAGGCATGTACTGAAGTTCTTCCTACCATTTAGAAGTGCTTATGGGACTACAGTGTCAGCGTGAGAAAGTATAATTATTTATCTGTTGATACCTGTTTGATATTTTCTGCTGAACAACAGGGTTTTAGTCCAGAACTTTGATGTTTAAGACATTAAGTACAACAGGTGGGAGAGTACACTGCTCATGCAGTTTGAAAATAAGCTTAGATAACAACATAAGTAGATTCTATTAAAGGGAAGATGTATATGTCATATAATTTTGATGATCATGATGTGTTTAAGGTAGTAAAACTGGGCAATAAAGAAAAATGCCCATTTATTTTTCTGAAATGTTATCCTCATTCATTCTGTTTTTTCTTGTTTTAGTTTTGGCCTTTGCTCTTGCTGACACCAAGAAGATTATTTTGTGTGATGTGGAAAAGCCCGAAAGCTTGCACTCTTTCTCCGTGGAGGCCCCGGTCTCCTGCATGCACTGGATGGAGGTGACTGCGGAGAGCAGGTGCGAGCAGACCCATAGCGCAGTACCTTCTGGGCTTTCCCTCATTCTGCATGCTGAGTGTCTGCTTAGTGCCTTTCGGTTTTGGTTTTGAGTTCATCAAGATGAAATGTTTTAATGCTGTGTTACAGTTCTTTTCTTCTTAAAAAAAAAAATGTATGTATATGTATATATATATTTTACTGGATCAGTAATGGCTCAGTAACCAGGATTATTCTTGCACTTTTTTAGTCATTTTTAGTAGTTCTTATCAATGATTTACACTTGCAAGTAAAACTAATTAAAGTTAACAATTAGGAAATTGTGGTTCTGCCTTCTCTTGCAGCATTTATTCTGTTTAGGACTTTGCCTTTAGTGTTTAAGTAAATATTCTTAGACTAGAGAAAGTGCTAAACTGAGCATTCTGCTCTGGTGTTGAACAGGTTTCTGTGTCTGTGGTCTTCATATTTTCCTTTTTTCCTGAAATCAATTTTGCTTTCTTCTTTTTAGTCAAGTAATATACCAGGCTTGCAGTAAACACAGGCTAAGAGGTCAGTGAGTTTGGTTAGGGTAAAAGTATTTCCTTTTTGGGGGAGACACATTTTTCTTTCCATTAGCTTTTCTTTTCAATTAAGCTCCACTGAGTTAATATCAGGTGAGCTTACAAAGCTGAGTGATCTTTGATAGCTTTCCTAAGGGGATTTTAAAGAATTGGATCATAAGAACCTAGCCTAGAGTTTGCAATTCACTCTAGATAAACCAGAGTGATTAATCCATCATGAAATAATCAAGGATTGCACGTGGTCACATAAATTTCTAGAAGCAGAGAAACCGCATGCTGTGTAATTCACATCTCGGCCCTTATTGCTAAGTGTATTCCCAACACACTTTCTGCTGAGAGTTTAGAAATATTAGGTGGTGATTCCAGGATCTCTCAGGATGGCTAACATGTTAACGTGGGGGAAAAGCAATTTCCAAGTCACCACTTTTTCACTTGCTCAGTCACTTATTTCCAACTTTTATTTAGGGGTAGAATTGAAAAAGAAAAGGGAATTTAAGGTATGACGACGCATGCCTATTGGACAGACTCGCTTTGCACAACTTAACAAATTTGTACTTTTTTACTTCTGTTGTTAGAGTGACTATTTTACAGTGGTGAAATATTCGTAGCATCTGTTTGCTTGGTCGTGTTATCACGCTGGAGTCTTTTTTCAGAAACGTACGCTGTTGGCGGAAAGCAGGGAACCCTGTGCCGCTGTGTAACGCTGCTCTCCTCCTCCCACTAGTGTCCTCACGTCCTTTTACAATGCCGAGGACGAGTCAAACCTTCTCTTGCCCAAGCTGCCCACGTTACCAAAGAAGTAAGTAGCAGAGTTTTATTTCTTTGGAATTAATCTTGAAGACTTTTTCCTCTGCTTGTAACAGTGACAGTTTTTTCAGACCTTTAAAAAAAATACCATCTCTGTTACAGTTTATTTTACCTTTATCTCTGTTTTTCTCTAGTTATAGCAACACCTCAAAAATATTTAGGTAAGATATGCCTTTTTTGTTTTCAACTAAAGTAATTTTTTATTGTGGTTAAAGATATTGTCAAAAGGTGACCCACTGTTATTTTTATATTTTAGTGAAGAAAATTCTGATGAAATTATTAAGCTCTTGGGAGATGTCAGGTAAATCTCACAAATATCTTAAATCAGTCTGATTTTTTTTTTTTTTTTTTTTGGTATTGGGGGTCGAACTCAGGACCTTACACTTGTGAGGCAGGTGGCAGAACCACTGAGCTAAATCCCCAGCCCAATAAGTCTGATTTCTTTAAGCTGATATTTAATTCTTCAGAAGTTTGATGAACAAGTCTTTCGTTTGTTACATTGATTGCTACATTAACACCTCCCAACAAAATGAACACTTTAATACCTGGTATTTTTATTGTATGGTCTTTTATTTTGTCAAATTTTAGTGCAGTGTGCTTTTTTGTGTTTTAATGAGAACAGAAGTACTAGAGTTTCTAAATTTTAAACTTTATTGTCTAAGTTCTTTAAGCCTCTTTAATATATTTTATATCATATCCATAATAAAACTGACAGCACTTTGTCTTACCTGGAAAAGGATTATTTTGTTACTGGCTTCATATAAATATCATTGTTAATGTTATTTTACTGTAAGCTGCGATTTTAAAATATTTTATTTATTTATTTATTTTTGGTCTTTCAAAATGGTCTCAGTATGTAGTTCAGGCTGGCTTTAAACTCATAGTGACTCTCCTGCCTCAGCCTTCTGAGTGCTATGATTACAGGTGTGCGCCACCATGCCTGGCCATGTGTGTTTTTAGGCTATAGGAAACTTTTGAGAAAAAAGGATAGGCCTCGGTTTGCTTGGCATTGGGTTCCCTCTGCAGAGGGTCTCAGTGTGTAGATAATGTGAGAGCAGGAGAGACTATAGCTTCATTTAAGCACTCAATCACCTCAGCTTGTTGCATACTTTTATTTAGGCTTAATATTCTTGTCCTTGGAGGAAGCTCTGGATTTATCGAGCTTTACGCTTATGGAATGTTCAAAATTGCTCGAGTTACAGGGGTAAGTTTTTGTTTTAATTTTTTTATATTGTTTCTCTTAGAATGTAGCAGCACGTTTATTTGTAGACTATAGTTTGTTTTGTTTTTTTTCTAGTTTCAATTCACTTAAATATTTAGAGGATAATTTCCTTACAAAGATAAAAATAGTAGTGATATGATGTTTCTAGAGACCAGGAGCTATTGGTGAAACTAGTCAAGTTCTCTTAGCAAAAAGATTAGTGTGGACCAGGCATGGTGGCGCATGCCTGTAATCCCAGCATTCGGGAGGCTGAGGCAGGAGGATCGCTGTGAGTTTGAGACCAGCCTGGGCTACATAGTGAATTCCAGGTCAGTCTCAACTACATAGTGAGACCCTATCTCAAACAAACAAACAAACAAAAAATAAGTGTGGTCCATCAGTCGTGGTGTAATGTTGAACCACAGCTCTAGAAGAGCTAGGATTTGTGACTGGAATGTAGCTAAGTTGTCAGAAATAGTTTTACACCCAGGGATTGAGGCTGTCACAATTGCTGGTCTCACTCTTCTCCAAAGTTTTTTGCACCTTACTCTTAGTGTCCTTTGGGAAGTGGAGGGTAGACAAAAGCACAGGCTGTGGGATTTGCTTCTTCAGCTGATGCTGTGGACCCCTGAAGGGTGGGGGCAGCTATTTGTCTCCCGTGCCCAGGCGGGGTACAGTGCAGACTCTGGCCTTCACCCGCTGCGCAGGTCTGGCAGGGACCAGGCATATGCGTCTGCTTTCTGAAGCTCTGTGAATTTCTGCTTCCAGTGTTGAGGCAGTGCAGCCTGGCAGCGTTAGCAGAGGTACTGAGGGACCTTAATTGCTTTACAGATTGTGGGTACGTGTCTTGCATTATGCTTATCAAGTGATCTGAAGTCACTGTCAGTGGTCACAGAGGTGTCTGTCGGTGGTGCTCAAGAAGTTTCATACTTTCAGGTGGGTATCGGAACTTAATGGCAAAAGAGAGTAAGTGTATATTTTATAGGTTTTTGGGTATTGGGGATGAAACCCAGCCGTCGTGTGTGCTGAATATGTTCTCAACCCCTGAGATAAACCCCAGTGCCTGCCGTTTTTTAGTATCCATAGCTCATTGTATTCTAATTGTCATTGAAACAAAACAAAGCTGCTTGGAGTTCCAAAGTCTTATACGTTGGATGTCATTATAGTGTATACTATATCCAATACTACTCCAATACAGTTTTCATAGAGAGGGTTTTGGTGGTCTGGTAAAGACCATGCTCATGTGTTATTACACCAATTTAACTTTGAACCAAGTACAGTGATACCTCAGTTGTTGAACTCAATTTGTTCCAAATTCGTGTTCAAACATCAAAAGGTTTGAGAACTGAGCATTTTTTTCCCATAAGAAATAATGGAAAACCCAATTTGGTTCTGAGGCCAAAAAATGTTCACTTATAAATTTCTTTTTTCTGGAGTTTAACAAATTTTGCAATGATTTTCTTTAACTCTCATGGTTCTCACAGTTTTCCTCTTAGCTTTATCGCTGCTGTCACTTTCTTTGGAGCCATGTTGTTTACAGTATCTTATACAAATGCAGAAAAAGCACAGTGACAAGTGTTTTAACACACTAACACAAGCACTATATATTATCTGGGCAAGAGTGGCGCTTAGATTTAAGTTTCACCGCTTTGGGTCTACAGCATGACTCTCAGTCTACACAGGGTATGTATGTATGTATTTATTTATTTATTTTTGGTAACCAGCTATCAAACTCAGGTCCCGCTTTCAAGGCAGACGACGGCACCACTGAGCTAAATCCCCGGGCTGGGTTTTTTATTTTTAATTTTTATTTATTTAGAGATAGGGTCTTGCTAGGTGGTTCAGGCTGTCCTTGAACTCACAGTGATCCTCTTGCGTCAGCCTCCCAAGTGCTGGGATTACAGGCCTGTGCCACCACAACTGGCCCCTGTACAGGTTTCTTGAAGTCAGATTTTTAGTTTGACTACTGAGCAGATTTTTTTTTGAATTTTGCTGTTTGAGTAGTACAAAGTTCGAGCTTTGAGCCGTTCAACTACCAAGGCATTACTGTACTGTATTTTCTTAGAATTGTCCGTGATATTATTAAAGACTAAAATTTATTGATCATTTGAATGTACTTCAGAGTTGGTGTGTAGCTCTGTGTCCTTCCTGTCTTACAGATGTCACGTGTACACGGGCATGCACTGGAACTGCCAGCTCTGCTCCGTGTCAGTGTCAGGAAGTGGTACCATGTGGTCGGTTCTGGGTCTGTGCTCCTAACCAGCACATTACTGCTTGTGCAAAACGACCACTTCATGTTGAGAAGAACTTTTCTTATTGTGTGCTCTTTATTTTAAAGATTGAGGAGTCTGACAGGCTTCCATAGAGTATTTAGATTTTAGCTTCGCCTTGCCAAAAAATCGTCCCAGAATTCTCATCTTAAATGTCTCAGCCATCTGCCTGAGTTCCTGAGAAATCGCTAAAAAAAGCAGAGTGAAAAAGTGACACTGCCTCATTGTCACATGCTTGAGTTACGATTGACTACCGTGCTTGTTCATCTTCACTGCTCACCTTAAGACTCAGAAACTGATTGCCAGGACAGCATTTGGCCTGTAATAAAGTGATTCACTTTTTCCGTGAAGTTTGTAATAGGTACTTTTTAATGACAACTACATTGAGATCCAATTTACGTACCACTGATAGATGTTTTCCTTGTATTTATCAATCACCTTTAATTCCTCTACTTCCATTAAAATTTTAAGCATGTTAATGGTCATTTATTAATTTTCCCATACGATGTTACAAATAGGTTATTACATTTATAGCTACATAGAAGGGCTCGAAAGAGAGATTGATCTGTGCAGTCCACACAGGTTAGGAAACCCTAAAATTGTGCTCTTAGTCTCAAACTGTTTGGCCAAAAGGGGCAGAGTTCTGACTCAGTCCTTCTGATACATAATTACACCTAGACTTTTCTGTATATCATGGGATTGGTTTTTGGGCAGAAACAGTTTGTCTTTAAAATAAGCAATAAATCTGATTGGGACTCTCTGTCTTTATTTTATAGCTTGAAACTAATCTATTGTATTCCTTCTTACCTGAAGTAACTCGGATGGCTAGAAAGTTCACTCACATTTCAGCTCTTTTGCAGGTATGATTTATGGCTGACTTTATGTAGTTACTAAAAGTGTCATGAAGAAAATACCTTTTGTAAAGTTGTCTGGAATAAAAGTGTTTCGTCTGCTAATCTTCTTAGAGTATTGACTAAAGCAAGAAAAGAAAATTTAATGAGAATCCACTTCCATCTACCCCTATTTACCACCTCCAAAAGAAAAGAAAAAAATAGTTTATACCTCTTTACATAATCTCTTAAGTGAAATGCTACTTATATTTTATTGCAAATAAATTATGGTGGAAACCAGTCTCCACGTGAGTTAGTGTTTGTCCCTAACGCACCCAGTCCAGAGTGGCTCTGCAGGGCAGTAGTTGGGGCTGTGGGGATCTGGGCCAGCTCCAGGCGGCTGACCTGTGGGCTGTAGTGTGTGGGGCTGGAATGGCTCCGTTCTGCTTGCTGCCCTCCCTGCAGCAGGCCTCCGGGCTTATTTGTGTGGTTGTGGCCACAGGGTCTCAAGAGTGTGAGTGGAAGTGTGCAAGGCCTGTGAGTGTTGGACTCAGCGGCAGTGTTTGTGCTGTGTGCTGTTAGAGCATGACACGAGCCAGGCCAAAGCAAGAGCTGTAGAGTGGCCCGTCTCAGTGGAGGACCTGCAGAGAACTCTGAACATTTTGTTGTTGTTGTTCTAGCGTAGTTTTTGATTTACTTGATGTGAAAGGTTTCTGGAGATCAGTGAATCTTTTTCTTTTTATGTATCTATCTATCTATTTATTTATTGTACCAGGGATCAAACACTGGACCTTGCACTTATGAGGCAGGTGGCGGCACCACTGAGCTAAATCCCTGGCCAGTGTATCTTTTTAATTTATGTTTTGGGTACTGTGGATTGAACTCAGAGGCCTTGACTTTGAACTATATCGCCACTGCTTTAAAAAAAATTTTTTTTTTTTTAATTTTGAGACATTTCTTGCTAAGTTATTCAGTTGCCCAGGCTGGGCTTTTACTTGTGGTCATCCTGCCTTATCTTCCTAGAATACTGGGGTTACAGGGGTGCATTACCATGCCTGGCTGAGATTAGTATCTTTTTTAGTGCTGTCAAACTGATAGCTGAACAAGCTAGCATTTTCACAGTTACTATACATAAAATGTATCTCATGTAAAGAATTTGAGCCGGGCATGGTGGTGCACACCTGTAATCCCAGCACCTGCGAGGCTGAGGTGGGAGGATTGCCCTGAGTTCGAGGCCAGCCTGGACTACATAATGAATTGAAGGCCAGCCTGAACTACATGGCAAGACCCTGTCTCAAACAAAAATAACAACAAAAACAAAAACTTGAGGATATTTGTTTTACCAGCTACAAACTTAAACTTTTTTTTCAGTGCTGGGGATTTAACGTAGGGCTTCACACGTGTTAGGCAAGCCCTCCACCATTGAGCCACATTCCCAGCTCGAAACGTGTTTTATTATAAAATGCTAAGAAAAATTGAACTCTTTATAGTTAGGTGATCATAAAATGTAAGCTACACTCTTCTATTTTTCCTGGGACTTAGTTAAGAAATTGAAAGTAAATTCTGGATTTCTTTGTGACATTTGATCATAAGAAACATATTATTTAGTTGGCATGTTGGTTTACAGATTTTTTTCCTTTTCTTGCTAATAGTATATAAATTTGTCACTGACATGTATGTGTGAAGCGTGGGAAGAAATACTGATGCAGATGGATTCTCGTCTCACCAAGTTTGTGCAGGTAACATAACTGAAATTTCCCATGGAGAGAGTTTGAAAGTACAAAATAATTTCCTTTTTTGGATACATGAGAAAAAGCAGGCTGATTTGTAAAGGATAAAATTGTTACTTCTTTCAGATAGCTTGGTCTAACCTCAATATTGTTTCAGAGAGATTTTCAAAAGGTCTCTTAATTTTCTATTGCTGTAACAAAGCGCCTGAGGTTGAATAACATACAAAGAAAAGCGGGTTTTAGCTCTCAGTTTTGGGGGTGGGAAGTCCAAGACCGTGCAGCCCCATGTGTTCTGGTGAGGAGGACCTCAGGGCAGATAGCATCATGGCAGGAGTGTGTGTGGGAGGGGTCACCTGGTGGGACAGGAAGTCAGAGGTCAGGGAGGAGTCAGCCCTGCTCTTTTATAGCAACAGTCTCTCAGGAACTACCAGCACCCCCTGAGAATGCCTCGCTTTCTTCCTGCAGCTGCATCCCAGTAAGCCAACAACCTCCCGCTGCACCCCACCTCTTAGGGCTTCCGCCACCTCAGCAGCCTCCAGCACACAAAACTTAGGGGCACAGACCAAGCTGCCGTGGACTCTGTTCCTCTTAGGATGACTTAGGTGGGGACCAGACTGTGAAGTGCAGTAAGTGTGGGTGTGATATTGCACACAGCCTATCTTCCAGCCACTGATATCAGACAACTGATTTAGAGACAGATCTGAGGAAACATGGAAACAAAGAAAGGAAGTTGTATACCTAGAAATTTGAATAAAAATACTTACAAGTTACAACATGTGAATCAGTTTTTCTCTTTGCATTTTGTCAAGGAAAAGAACACAACCACATCAGTGCAAGATGAATTCATGCATTTGCTGTTGTGGGGAAAAGCGAGGTAATGAACTTAGGTTAGGGGCTCTTGCTTTGCCACTTCCTCCTCCCTCTCCTTTTCCTTCTCCTCTTTTATACCAATTATTTATTTCAAAATAATCATATTCATTGTAAAAATAAAATAGAAAATGTACATAACCAAAAAACCAAAATGGTGTATATCTTTCTGAGCTTTCTATGCACATTTTTAATGCAAATGTGATCATTTTTGTGTGTATGCATATGTTTTATTAAATACATAAAAATTTTGAAATTTTTATGTAGCCAAACTAATCTTTTCCTTTCTGGGACCTTAAAGAGACCTTTCACGTTTTAAGAGTATTCAAAGATTGGTTTGGATTTTCTTGTAAAGCTTTTCTCTGGTTTACGTTTTATACCTTTCCACATGTGACATGTGGTTTATTCAGTTGTGCGCATGGCGAGCTGACTGCTTCCTTCCTAATGACTGGAGCGCCGTCCAGCCTGACTGAGCCAGCCCTGCCTGCTGCTCTGAAGGGCTGTGAGCAGTGTGTTCTTGAGTGCACTTCAGTCTGTTGCTGGCTTTTATTGTTTCCTGTTTTCTGTCATTTGATGAGTACAACAGAGTCCTCATTTCTTTTGGGCTATTTGTTATTTGTTTCAAATTTTTCTTTGTACTTTGAAAATTAAATTTTAAGTGATGCATTCAAGTTTGAATGGAGAAATAACTAAAAACACTTTCTTTTTCATTACAGTGCTGAACTCCAGACGCTCTTGATGAACCAGTTAACAGTAAAGGTGCCATTAAAATATCTGTATTTAAATCGCCATAATATGTTCTTCTTAAATTTTTTTTTGAAGTGACATATATCCTAGTTGTATTCTAAATTTGTTTTCTTCTCTTAATTAGGGTTTAAAGAAGCTCGGCCAGTCTATAGAGTCGTCATATTCCAGTATACAGAAATTGGTTATAAGTCACTTACAGAGGTATGAAGGTGCTGGAGACTGTTTTGGCATTGCATCCACACACATGCAGCTTTGATCGTTCTGAAACCTCTCTGTGGTCTTGCATTTTCTTTTTGAGTCCTCTCTGGCTAAAATTATTGCATTGGCATTTGAGGGAAATCGTGATACACCTAAGTCAGTAATGACTTATGAGATAATTATAAAGTTTATGAGGTAAAATATCTTTTAACAAGGCTAAACCCAGTCTGGACTTTTTCTCCCTTAACCATAAGGTATATTGTAAAATAGGGCATATGTGCTTCTTTGATCAGTGAAATTAAACATGTTTGTATATTAGTTATAGCATCTAGTGCATATTATGTATTTTTTTATGTGGTACCCTGGCAGTTTGTTCTCATTCTCATCATTTCGCACAAGAAGAACCTGCAGTTCAGGATCAGTTACATGATTGGCCTAGACTTACTGGATGTCAGAGCTAAGACTTGTAATTGGATCTTCCACGTCTTTGCTGTTTCTGTCCACAGCTGCCTTACTGAGGCAGTTTGCAAGCAGATGCTGAGTGCTGGATTTAAATTTGCTGCATCCCTTCATGCCGGGACCCAGCCTGCCCCATCGGGGCCTGCAGCACCTTTTGCACTGCTCTACTCCGGGTCATGTTTTGCCTTGAAGCGGGTTTTCCCCAGCGGAGCTACCGATGTACCTCTCAGAACCTTCCAGTGCTGCCTTCCCTTTGCTCTTGGGACCATGACCTTTGCGTGACCATTAGTGCCTGCCTCTCAGCATCACATTAGTGGCCTTTAGTTTCCCAAACATGACATTTGTTTCCCAGCCAGGGCTTTTGTACAGCCTTCTTGCTTTCTGGAGCGCTTGCACCCTGCTCTTCCTTTCTGTTCAGCTCAGTAAGCTCGCCCCAGGTTAGATCTGTTCTGTCTCACCCAGGCATTCCCTTCAAGGCACTTATGTCACACGGGCAGCAGACGCTCTGATTGTGTGAAGATTGTGGCCCATCTGCCCCATTAAACTGTCAGTGCCAGGAGATCCTACTGCTGGATCCCCAGCATCTAGTGGTGCCTGACATAGAGCCAGCGGCGCTCAGAGCATGTTTATTGAATGTTGAATATGTAGTTGTCGGGTGAATGAGGTGGCCTCGTGGTTACCCTAAACGTACCAGGGCTGGGCTCAGAGTGGGAGCTCGGCGGTGGAGCGTAAGAAGTGTGTGCCAAGACAGCTGTGGACCTGATCCGATCACCCCACCAAGTTTCATCTGTGCTCACGTACATTCTGATGACATAAGATTCTGCTGCACTTTTCAGAAATAGCTTTGCCAAATCATTAGTTTTTGTAGAAAGAAAATTAAAGTTGTCGTCAGTTTTTATTTATAGATCTGTTGAGGCAGTCACTGCGCACCACCGTCGATGATAGTAACGATGTCCGTTCCTGCTGTCTCGCCAGCGGCTCAGAGTCTTTGTTGTATCATTTGAGTGAGCTGAAAGGGATGGCTTCGTGGAAGCAGAAATACCAGCCTCTTGGACTGGATGCTGCAGGAATCGAAGGTAGGTTTAATTTCTCAGTAGAATACCTTAGACACAGTTTACTCGCTTAACAAGTGATTAATTTATTCATTTCTTTCTCTTTAGATGCTATTACTGCTGTGGGTTCTTTCATACTCAAAGCAAATGAACTTCTTCAGTAAGTAATGGGCTTTACCTAGAATCAAGGACCTGAGAATATTTCACTTTTTACTTAAATGAGGTCCTAGTAAATTGTCTTGATTTTCTTAAAATGAATGTTTTAATTTTTATTATAATTACACCTGCATGTGTAAAATAAGTGAACAGCACAGAGATCTTATGAAGTAAAACTGTTTTTCCTGCCCCAGCCATTCTCATTCTTGTCCTCTTTGCAGAGGGGATCGGGACCAATGCTGTAACTCTTGCAGTTTCTAGGTTACTTCCATTTTTCTGAACTGGGACTGCTCCATTTCCTGTACTTGTCAACTTTGAGAAGTTGCTCCTCTCCGTTTTTCCAGAACTCTGTTGAGCTCTCCTGTTTTCTTTTGACTGCTGTCTTTAACTCCTCATTCTGTTCTTTCCCTGACTGAGGAGCAGGCAGTCCCCACCCGTCTAACTCGCTGCTCCTATAGCCTGCGCCCCCAGGTCCGCAGGCTGAGCTCCCACCTCTGCCCAGCTGTGCACAGCGCTCTCAGCTCTTCTCGCGTCAGGATCACCACTACTGCTTCCTTAGCTAATCACTTGCTGCATAGTGTCCTGAGTAACTTTACAAAGCAGATGTGGGAGGTAAACGCTGGGTGTCTTTCCTCCTCGCTCGCGTTCGGTTGGTGATCTTGACTGGATTTAGGGTGCTGAGGGGAAAGCCTTGCTCTGTGGCACTCTGGACTTCCTGCTGCTGATGGAGGCTCTCTAGCTTCCCGATTTGCATTCCTTTGAAGTTTTTTTTCCTCTCTCTTAAAGCTTTAGTTTTTATCCTTGTTATTGTGAAATTTCACAACAGCTTTTTTAGATAAAGATTTTTTTCATTTAGTGTGTTGATAATTTAAAAAAAATGTTTTAACCTGGATACTACTTTTTTATTATTTTGGTCAATTCTTCTTTTTGTCTTTTAAATTACATTTTTAGTTCTAGAAATATATTTGGTCAGATACTAGACTTCATGGATTGATCCTCTATGTTCATACTTTTCTCATATCTTTCATACCATTGCCTGTTCTCTGAAAACATTTTTTGACTTAATTATCCAAAACCCATTGACTAGTAGACATTTATTGAGCATTTCACCATGTTTTAAGTGAGTTCTGAACACTGAGCATATATAGTAGTGAACAAAACTCAAAACTGTGACCTCAAAAATCTTGTATTCTGATGTGGTTAGACAATAAACAATGGATAATTAAAATATATGGGATGTGTTTGAAAAATATGGTGGATTTTTATATTAAAAAATAAGTTCTTACAATAAAAGACACATTGGGCTGGGATTTAGCTCAGTGGTTCTGCAGCCTGCTTCACAAGCGCAAGGTCCCAAGTTTCATCCCTGGTACCAAAAAAAAAAAGAGAGACACATTGCCATTAATCCCTCTCAAAATATTCTCCCTTAATTCAAACATACTTATCCCATTGTTCTTGGTACTTTCTGGAAGTCCTCTTTGGTGTCTTCATTTGTGCTAATGTGGCTGCCTTGATGTTCTGAATCAGCTCAAAATACTTACCTTTCACGGCCATTTTGGTTTTGAGGAAGAGTCAGAAGTTGTACTGGGCAGATCCACTGAATAAGGTGGATGAGGACGCACAAATGGTTTTTTTTTGGTACCAGGGATCGAACTCGGCTCCTTGTGCTTTGCGAGGCAGGCGCTGGAACCACTGAGCTAAATCCCCAGCCCAGTGTTTTTACAAATCTGCCTTTCCATTGGATGGCACTTGACAAAAACATTGACTGTATTTTGGGCCACATCTGCACTTGATCTTAGCCGAAAGGCCGAGAAGCGATTGGACCACATCTGGTGAGGACATGAAAGTAAACTTCCAGAGCTGCTCTCAGAAGTGGCAAGAGAGATGAGATAAGTGTGTTTGCAGCGAGGGAGATTAATGACAGTGTAACTGTGTTCAATGTTTACAGTGTAAACGTTCATCATATATTTTGCTCATACTTTGCATAGTAGCTCAGAGAGTAACAAATAGTGGTGAAAAAAATCCAAGCAGGGAAGGAGGACCTGGGCCTGTGGCATGCTGGAGGCAGGAGATGCATTTTTATACGTGGCGAGTCTTCATCGCACATGGATTCCACATTCACAGATCCGGCCACCCTCAGATCAGAAATATTAGGAAAAAGTCTACATCTGTACTGAACATATGCAGACTTTTTTTTTCTTGTCATTGTCCCTAAACACAATGTAACAGCTATTCGTATAGTATTTACATTGTAGGTAACCTGGCAGGATTGAGATATTCCGGAGGATGTGTGCAGGTGATATGCAAGTGCAGCGTCGTTTCCTGTAAGGGCCTTGAGGTTTTGTTGTCCTGGAATGGAAGAGGGGCCCACTATATGGAGATGTTAGTGCATATTTTCTAAGAGTAAGTTTATTTTCATACATAACCATCGTATAGTTAACAAGTTAGAATTTTTCACATTGACCCCGTATTTTCATCTATAGTTCAGTTTGAATTTTGCAGGTACCCTCGTCATGCCCAGTGCAGTAAGATGCAGTTTGGGCTCACCTGAGTTAATTGCCACATCTCTTAAACCTGAGCAGTTTCCCGGCCTCTCTTGGCCTTTCCTGGCCGCCCATGCTGTGCTCTGCCTGACACATTGTCCTCATCAGTCACCAGGCCTTGACATTTCTGAAATTTGTTCTAGTTCTTTTCTACTGGTCTTTTTATTTCTGTGAGTTTACAACGCATACATCCCTCCCCATCCACTGTCACTTTAATGGCATCTTAGAAGGAGGAAGGTATAGGAGGTTGTACTCAGCAGACAATATGAGAGGGGAGATGACATTGATTTTTCTGTTTGGGAAATGTTTTTTTTACTTTACCACATTTGCTGAGAGCAGAACTAAAATATTAAGCTTTCTTTGATCACCTTTCAATATGAACGAAAGGCAGTTAATGTGTTGCTCTTTTCAAGTAAGTGGAACATAGCATTGTTTTTATTTTGGGTTACAAAAGGAAAAGCATGACACTTTCTGATATAAGTCTGGTTACCTGGGGTGGGGTGGGGGATTGAGAAAGACATAAAAGAACTTTTTTTTTCTTTTTCTTTGTTTCTGCCAGAGAGTTTTGGTTATGGTGCTTGGTCATGTAGGGGATGTTGCAGTCCTTAATTTCAAGTGTCTTACTTTATATAGAAAGATTAATAATACTGACCTACCCCACTGAGGGTATTGCAAAACTTACTATTTGGGAAGGGTCTTGAGATGTAGAAATGAAATGTGCGATTATTGTGTATTTAGAGTAATTATCTCATAGGTATGGCCTTAAGGATATATATTTTTTTAATTCCCTGTCTGTATTTAGTTTCATCAAAATGAAGATGGCTTCCATTTCAAATACTATGCTTAATTTGGGGGACACATTTGTATAAAGCCCTGGGAAGTTAATTTTTGAGGTCTCAGTTATTGTCAGAGTCCAAAATCAACTTCAAAAAATAGTGTTCATTGCCTGGCGTGATGGCGCACGCCTGTAATCCCAGCACTCGGGAGGCTGAGGCAAGAGGATCGCTGTGAGTTTGACACCAGCCTGGGCTACATAGAGAGTTCTAGGTCAGTCTCAACTACATGGTAAGACCCTGTCTCAAAAAACAAAACAAAACAAAACAAACAAAAAAAATAGTGTTCATTGATATCAGAGGTCATAACATAGTACAAATTTGTAATGATGTGGGTTTTTTTTTCTTTTGCTGAGTATGTTTTTTCTTCTTACTGACTAACAGATATTTTTTTAAACCAAGATTAGTGCTGAAAACTTTTTTCCTGATTTCTTTCAAGTTAAAAAAGAATTTACTACTTTATTGAATACAAGAAAAAAGTATGCACAGTTTATGATAAGGCAGTCATAGCCAGTTAAAATGTTACTTTGCTTTATTTTTGTTTTATTTATTTATTTATTTATGTACTTATTTATTTTGAGACAGGATCTCGCTATGTAGTTGAGACTGACCTGGAACTCACTATGTAGCCCAGGCTGGTCTTGAACTCACAGTGATCCTCCTGCCTCAGCCTCCCTAGTGCTGGGATTACAGGCGTGCACCACCACGCCCGGCACTTTGCTTTATTTTTGAAAAGAATCAGGATTTGCTTTTTTTTTTTAATTGTATTTTTATAGATGTGTTTGATTTGTAACATCTGCTCTTCCAAGGGCATAAGTGTCACCCAGATAGGGTAAAGTAGAAGTTAGGATTATTTTATTCTGTGACAGTTGACAGTTATGCATGAATACCCGATAATCTTTGATTTCTTTTTATCTTTCTAGGGTTATAGATAGCAGTATGAAAAACTTCAAAGCATTTTTTCGGTGGCTGTACGTGGGTAAGTTAATTGAGTGAAGCATTCTTGGTGTTGTAACACTTTGTAAATTACGGGAATATTTTCAGTTACCCTAATAAAAAGGACAGACCTTTGAAATTACTAGTACAGTGGGGTGAGTCCCCGGCACGTGTCACCCAGCTTTGGTGATTGCCAGCTTCTGGCCAGTGTGACGTCCTCACACTGCTCAGCCCCAGCTCCTGGGATTGCGGACGTTACTGTGGAACACCTCCTCGCTCACCCTTTTTTAATTGAAAATAGCATTTTGGAATCCTTTCTATAGACTGGGCACATTTTGGTGCTAGAGTTTTAAAAAGTTCTTGAATATCTTCTGTCTCTTACTCTGTGTTCTCACTGTCTCTGGATCTCTACAGTCCATGATGGTAGCCATCAGCCATTGATTGAAAGGCTCGAAGATTACAGATGAGCTCCTTGGCCAGCTCCCCCGGACGTTCTCAGGGTTGTGGGTGTTCAGTGGAGCACACAGTTGGCACATTTCCATCAGCACTGCCATTGGGCAGTAACACCCCAGCTTACAAGCGTGCAGACCACATGTGGTCTTTTTCTGCATCTCCACAGTGTCTTTGCAGTTGAGTAGGCAGCTTAATTGACAAATATCTGTTGGCTTGATATTAATTGTTTTGATATTCACTCTATCAAAACAGTTGTAAATGGAATTTATCAAAATTCTAAAGACTGAAAAAGAAAGAAATTACCTTTCATGTGCTGCTCCCTCCTTTAAATAAAGACACTAGATCTTCAATTCTAGTATTATAAAGGCAGACCTCATATTTATCAGCCCCTTGTAGTTACTCTTGTATAAAAACTGAATATGATCTGATACTGACACTTGAAATTCTTAGAGTGTTCTCACTATATTAATGTCAGCCAGTATGGCCAACTAGAGTGTTTATGAGCTCAGCCTATTTAAGATCTGAGTTGGTCATTGAAATAAATTGCAGTATTAATGCTGAATGAAACCTTAGAAATCCTTGTTTGATGAAAGTCATAGTTGGGTTTTATTCACAGTTATTGAAGACAGTTTAGGCTGTTTCTGTATTGTTCATCCTAATGAGTAAAAACCAGGATTAGACAAGAAATGAGTTACTGCTCAGTCCTGAGAACATGGCATTATGGAGGGTGCACTGGTTTGGACAACAGGAGACCTTGTGTAGTCCTGGCTCTGCCACCAGCTGTGGCTGAGTAACACTGGTTGTGTTCAGTGAAATGGAGTCTCCTGGAAGGTGGGGTCGCTGTGGTACTGCCTGTGTAGCTCTAGCACCCATAGTATAATCAGTAAGTAGTTTTATTGAGTGGGTAAAAGAATGAATTGTGGAATGACATTGTAGCCTGTTTTTTTCAGAGAGCTTAGTTTGAATTCATTGAAAACTGGTTTTGAAAATAATTTTATTTGTGGAGGTACTTCTGACACACTTGCTACTGATCCAGCAGTTGGGAAGCATAGTTTAACACCAAGCAGAAGCACATGCAGTGAGTGTCTTTAGTCTTGACTTCGGATGACACAGTGCAGAAATATCCTGCTGCTGAGCACAGCCCTATGGCGGGACAAGAAGACTCCGCCATAGATGCTAAGGAAAAGCGTAGAAATATGCGTGTATGCGGCTGTGTGTGCACATGGCCTCACATAGTAGAAGAGGCCAAGGGAAATACACATTTCTCTGGTATTGTAAAACTCTGGAGAATTGTTTGCAGATTTTGAGAGAAGAAACACTACTAGGTTAGGAGAGGAACCCTGCAGATGTTGTCCCAGCATAAGACTGCATTTAGATTTGTCTGGAGGGGCAACAGATTGAAGAAAAATAATAGGCCTATACTGGTTTTGATCCTGAACATATTTAGAGCTAAGCTCTTTATCCTTTAGTTTTTAGGAGAAATATAGTTTTCTTACTGAAAAAAAACTGTTCAAAATGGAAGATTTAGTCTGAAATTTTTAGTTTTCCTTTAAAGATGGTTTTTTTCAAAGCCATTCCCCCCACTTTTTTTTTGTATCAAGGATTGAACTCAGGACCTTGTGCTTGTGAAGCAGGTGGTGGAACCACTGAGTTTTTTAACTTTCTGTTTGCAGCAATGTTGAGAATGACAGAAGACCATGTGCTTCCCGAGCTGAATAAGGTAGCGTATAGGAGTGGGGCCGGCGCTGCACATCCACAGGTTTGCATCAGTGGGTTTAGCCAGTCACGGATCAGAAATGCTCAGAAAAACTGTGTCTATACCTACCACGCACAGACTTTTTTTATCCTTATTCCCTAAATGATTTGGTGTAGCAGCTATTTACATAGCATTTACACTATGCAGTATGAAGTATTACAAGTCATCTTGAGGTGATTTGGAGATACAGGAGGATGTGCATATGTCATGTGCAAGTCCTGTGCCATCTTACATAAGGAATTTCGATTTGTGCGGCAGGCTTGGAACTACTGCTGCACAGATAGCAAAGGGAGACAGGGTCTCACTCAGTCGTGCAGGGGGCCTCAAGCTCACTATGTGAACTTAGGCAGTCTCCTACCTTAGCCTCCCAAGTGCTACGATTATGGGCTTGTGCCACCATGCCCAGCTGCATGTTTTCCTTACTGTTCAGCTTTGCTGGTCTTCTTGATATGATACTCTGACATAGTTAATAATTAACAGGATGTCAGGCTCTAGGCATTAGACAAAACCCTTACATTTTTTTTTTTTTTAGAAATGTGCATGTTGTACATGTTTTTTCAGCTCCCAATCCATTTTTACAGCTATCCAAATCTATAATTTTCATGTTTGTGTAAGGTTTTATGACCTATATAACATAGTACCTTTGTATTCCTTATTGTAACCTTCTTAAATGTTAAATGAATTTTTATTTTCCTTGAAAATGAAGCGCTTCAGTTTCAGTACCCATATTGAGAACTGGTGAGCAAGTTTCTTCCCACCTGTAAGGATTGTGCCAAGTGGCCCTAAAATTACCCTCAAGGGGCATCTTACAGCAGAAAGCAGAATTCTCCGTGGCTCCTGCAGCTCACATGTTCTTGGCCCTTGCTCAACTGTTCAGGTAGATTAGGTTGTTCTCTTGGGGAGCTTTTTTTCAACTTGATTTTTTGTCCCTTTCTGTTACTGATAGATGACTCAAAAGGATATTACATTTGTTGCTGAATTTCTTACTGAACATTTCAATGAGGTAAGAATCACACTTCTATGATTTAGGTTTTTTAAAGTAATTGTAGTAGACCTAGGTGATGGTAAGAAGTAATTAGATTTAACCCGATTAAATTCTCAGCAATTGTTTTTTAAAACTATTGAACTATTTGCTTATTTACTAAACATAAAGTCATCAAGTTAGCTTCTGTTTGTGTGTATCCTACAATTGGTAAAAGAAAACAATAGCTTCAACTAGTAGCTCTCCTATAAAATAATTTTTTGGGCTGGGGATTTAGCTCAGTGGTGCCGCCACCTGCCTTGCAAGCACAAGGTCCTGAGTTTGATCCCCAGTACCAAAAAAAAACCCAAAAAACAAAACATTTTTTTTGGTTTAAATTTAAGATCTTTCCTTTTTCTTTTGAGCTGACTTTTTAATTAAATTATGTCTATTCTTTCTAGGCTCCAGACCTTTATAATCGCAAAGGAAAATACTTTAATGTTGAAAAAGTTGGTCAGGTATGGTCTTGGATTGAACTTAGTGTGATTTTTAAGCACTAATTATAAAACTTTGGCATAATCTATATTATCCAAAGGTTATGACAAATAATATGATATTGTTATATAATTTTGTTTATAGTCCTACCCTTTTACTAAAATAATAGGAGAGCAACAGTTATTGAACTGTTTGGTCTAGGAAGCCTTTCCCATTCTTTTTCTCGGGTGCTGGGAACTTGAACCCAGGCCTTTACCCTTGCTAGGCAAGTCTCTACCACTGAGATACATCCCCAACCTCATTCTTTCTTTCTTTTTGCACTTTTACATGCTTAGTAGTTATTGAGGACTACAAAACACCTTTGTTTATGTGGATTGTCATCTGTTGGTGGTAGATATTATTAGATATTTAAAATTGCATAGAGTAAACAATTACTTATATTTTAATTCATTAAAAACAACAGTAAGGGGCCAGGGGGATACCTCAGTGGTGCCACACCTGCCTGGCGAGTGCAAGGTCTTGAGATCGATTCTTAGTACCAAAAAACAACAACAAATCTACTTAGCATTAATGTTAATAAATATATTTTAATGAAAAGTAACTTTCTACAGACATGTTGCCACTGTAGGTGTCCAACTTGTCCATTGCAGATACTTTCCAAGTATGGCAAACTTGGGAAGGTTACTATAATGAAAGACAAAGCTACAAGGAAGAATAAAGGGGTTGCGTTTATATTATTTTTGTATAAAGACTGCCCAAAAATGCACCAGAGCCATAAGCACCAGGCAATTGTTTGGTAGAGGGATGAAGGCAAGCACTATCAACAGTGGGAGAGCAGCTGAATTCATCCAAAGGCGAAACTACTTTGATAAATCGAAGTGTTATGAATGCGGGGAAAGCAGACACATGCCTGCCCGAAAAGTATGCTTGGAGAGCGTGAGCCTCCAGAGAAGAAAGAGAAAAAGAAGGAAAAGAAAATTGCCGAACCAGAAGAAATTAAGGACATAGCAGAAAGTGAAGACAAAGGGGAAGACCGCGTTCTTGACAGTCTCAGCCAAGCCATCGCGCCCCAGCAAGCCAAGACTGAAGCACAGAACAGATGGAAACCCGGTCCAGGGGCCCCTCAGGGTCAGAGGATTCACGGCCCCCAGGATAGAGAAGAGCACTTACTTCAGTGATGAGGGAGAGTTTAGTGATTAGAATTGTATAATGTAGATGTCAGGAAAATGAAAACCATCTGCAGTACAGATTATTTGCATATAAGAGCACCTAGGACCAGATAGTATTTTTTTTTACCATAAAACAATGCTTAGAAGATGAGAAATAATTTTTTAAATGATCATGTTTCAAGCTGGGTGCGGTGACATGCTCCTGTAATCCCAGCACTCTGGGAGGCTGAGGTAGGAGACTGAAAGTTCAAGTCCAGCCTGGGCACTTTAGCCAGACCCTGTCTCAAAACAAAAGATAATTTTAAAAGTTACACTGAGAGTGTAGCTCAGTCTGAAGGCCTTGGGTTCAATTCCCTACACAGAAAAAAAACATTTCTACCTGGCACTCGTATACTATATATAGCCTTAACATCTCTAATCCAAAACTCCAGAACACTCAAGTGGAAAATTCCATACCATGCAACTGATTCACAGGCAACATTAGGAAAACTACTGTATCCACTTACCTTCAGGTTATGTGCAGAAGGCATTTATGAAGTACAGGTGAAATTCATTTTTAGACTGAGGTTCCATCCAGAAAAATAATCACATTCTGTGTATATGTACATATTCCAAAATACTTCTGGTCCCATTTTTTTGTTGGTTTCGTTTGGTTTTGAGACAGGGTCTTCCTGTGTAGTTCAGACTGGCCTTGAACTCAGTACGTAGTATACCAGGCTGGCCTCAAACTGAAGGCAGTCCTGCTCCTTCAGCCTCTGAAGTGCTGGGGTTAGAGAGAGCAGCACTGCTCCTGGCTGGTCCCAAGTATTTGGGGTAAGGGGTGTTCCGCCTGAACTAAAACAGGATTTGGTAGTAATAATCAAACTTGAAAAGAACTAATTTTAATGAAAACAAAACATAATATGATAATGCTATTTTTATCCCATAAAAAGGTAGGTATTAAACTGATTGGAAAATGTACTGTAAATGCTCTAGTCATGTCTCACTGGTTTATAAGTACTTTTAATTCAATCTTTAAAACAAAAATTTAAGAACTGAAAAAATAAGGGGCTTAATAGTGCTGTTAATAAACTTTAAAAAAGATGTCTTAAAAAAAAAGAAAAGTAACTTTCTAAAAAAACTAGTGGAGCTGCATTGTTTTGTTTTTGCAGATCTCTCTCTCTCTCTCTCTTTTTTTTTGATACCTGGGATCAAATTCGGGTCCTTGTGCTTGTGAGGCAGGCGGTGGAATTGCAGATCTCTTTGATGTTCAGCTTAATAGAAAACAGCAAGATTCTCATATCTACTTCCTTGTTGTCTCTTTTGATATGCTAATTTTGTTCTAAATATAAGGAAGATCTGGCCTCACATAGATATGTCATTGAAAGGAGAAAGGACTGTAATAAATTTTTAGGGTCATTGAGGATTTTCTTTGATACCACCGCAAATCCTGACAAGTGATAGTATCTCCAAGGTTAATTTAAATGTGGAATCTAAATTGCATCAGTGAACTTTCCATACTCGGTGATGTTACAATCTGTTCATCTTCCTTGCACTTTGAAGGGGTCTTTTATCTGTGCATGGTTTTGTGACATCAGGCCTTGGTCATTTTGGAAATACCGGATCACGAGTTATGTGGCTCTCAAGTCATCGTACAGTACCCATAAGTCAGACTTCATTAACGTCAGCACCAGCTCAATCACAAAAGTCTTTCAGTGCTGTGGAGCTGTCAGGCACACAGAGGCAGATGTAGAGTTCATAATTTTAATTTTTGCCTGGAAATTTAAATTTTATCATTGGCAACAAATACTGTCAGTTGTTTTGCTTGAAGTGACAGTCTCACTGTATTTATTTTCAAGAAAATATCTGCCAAATACCCAATCATGAATTAATCATAGTTTGTCCTCAGTCATTTTTTCAAGTAAAAAATGGAATTCCATTTTTTTAAAAAGTGTCTGACTTAAAACCGTAACTATTTTCTAAGTGCTTTTCCTCAAGATAACTTTTATACTTTGGTATGTAGCAAAAGTATCTTATGTATACCTTCCAATTCTGGCCCGCAGAATATGATTTCAAGAATATTGAAGGGCTGGAGTGTAGCTCGGTGGCTCTGCACCTGCCTGGCAAATGCAAGGTCCTAAGTTCAATCCCTGGTTCTGCTAAAAAAAAAAAAAAAAAAGAATATTGAAGATTTCAGAAGATTTCAGAATATTGAATATCAAGAATTGAGATTAATAAAATTAATAATTTAATATCTTTGTCAAAGTTTCATGAAACTGAGAATGTGACAGAAAAGAATACAAGAACTGCTAGCGTCATTTGGGGCCAGTACCTTTGACGCTTGCTGAAGGCCCCAGCGGTTTTCTTCTCTGACCATCAGATGTCAGCACAGTGGAAGGGCAAGTGACAGCTCAGCGTGATTAGAAAGTTTCTGAACCCTGAGAGCATCTGGGGATCCCCAGTGGTCTCTGACCACACTTGGAGAACAGCTACCATAGAGTTGATTGATAGTTGGTACTTGTCAAACTCAGAATTTAGGTTAGATTAGCTGGGTGTGGCAGTCCACACCTGTGGTCCCACCTCTCTGGCAGACTGAGGCAAGGGGACTGTCTCAAAATTTTAAAAAAGGATAGCCGGGTGTGGTGGTGCACGCCTGTAATCCCAGCACTCAGGAGGCTGAAGCAGGAGGATCCTGTGAGTTCGAGACCAGCCTGGGCTGCATAGTGAGTTCTAGGTCAGTCTCAACTACATAGTGAGACCCTGTCTCTTTTTTTTTTTTTTTTTTTTGTACCGGGGATCGAATTTGGGTCCTTGTGCTTGCAAGGCAGGGCGCCGAACCATTGAGCTAAATCCCTGGCGTGAGACCCTGTCTCAAAAAAAACAAAAAACAAAAAAAAAAGAGAGAGAGAGAAGGGGCTGGGGATATAGCTTGGGGTTCAGTCCCCAGGATCCACTTGCCTTACCACAAAACAGATGAAAATATGCTTATGAAAACGAGATACAGAATTTAAACTTGAGTTATGGTCTTTGCATCCACTGCATTCTATTCTTTTTCGTCATTTGCACTTTGTTTAAGTTGCCAGCACTTGGGGTTTTGGGTGACCTCATTTAGAATAGTAATGTGCTTTCGGAGAACTTGGCAGTAAAACAAAATAACTTACTGAATAAGAAAATGTCAAATATAAATAGTTTGGGGAGCCCAGTTCTTTCCTAAATTTAAATATTTTTGTATTTCTAGTACTTGAAAGATGAAGATGATGATCTTGTGTCACCCCCTAACACAGAAGGAAACCAGTGGTATGACTTTCTCCAAAATAGCAGCCACCTTAAAGGTATTTCGTGAACTAAGCAGACTTTGGCCATGTTGATGTTTATTTGAGACCAGGTCTTGAGTAGATCAGCTAACGGTGTGGTCACATACTTGCTGAATACTTATCTAAGTTCTTTAGACTTACTTTTTGTGTCCATTTCATTAGATTAAAGGAATAGTTAAAGTAAAAAACAGGGTATAATATCACCATGGCAGATAGAAAACATTCTTAAGTGAACTGTGCTGACCCCAAGTGAGATGTTACCCACTTCTGACACGAAGCAGTTATGATACCAACCCAGTGTCTGCAGTTCACTTCAGATCTGACACTACCAGACTTAGCATCAGACCCCCAGACCCGACGGGTCCCCCCACACTGCTCTTTCCAGCGCCAGGTCCTCATGTTACCAAGCCTCTGTCTGTCTGCCTTGGCTGCTCCCCTTTAGCTTGGGTAATTCACTGGAATGGTTCACACAACTCAGGAAAGCACTTGGATGTCCTGATTGGTTTATGACCGCCAACTGCACTCAGGAGCAGCCACTTAGTAAGAGGTACCTGTGTTATGGAGGGAGAGGCCGGAGCTTCCATGCCTTCCTTGGACCCGGTGTGTTTATCAACAAGGAAGCCCTGGACCCGATTTGGGAGTTTATGGAGGCTTCATTGCATAGCAGGGGTTGATTAAATCATCAGGTATTGGCGATTGAACTGAACCTCTAGCCCCTTTCCCTCCAGGGAGGTTGGAAGGAGACCTGAGTGTTTCCCATGTTCTGATGCAGGCGGGGTCTTCCTGGAACCTTTGTCCATCCTGAGGCCGTCTTGGAGCCTTGCCAGTGCCACCTCATTAAAACAAAAAGACCTCCCATCACACTTAGCACATAGGAAATGCCGAGGTTTGGTTTAGTTTTGTTTTGTTGTAGCACTTACGGAATGAACCAAGGGTTTTAGGAACTCTTCCAGGAACTAGGGACAAAGAGCACGTCTCTTTTTACGAGTCCACAGCAACTGTCACTGTTGGGAGCTTCAAATGCTTGCATGATTGAAATGCATTTCGTCCGGCACAGCTGGGACATGAAATGCTATGTACGGGGAGGCCTCAAGCCATGGAGGAGGGTGGCTTTCAGAGTTAGACTGGGCCTGATTCCTAGTTCTAGATGCATAGTCATTTTCCTCCTGGGCAGTTGCCTCTGCCTCTTTGTTTTTCTCATCTATAAATTGGAGAATATGATCGTTGCTTTATATGGTAAGCAACAGAAATAACAGATATAAAGAAGGACCTAGAAGAGTAGGACTCGGTAAATGATGTTCTAGTCAGTTTCTACTGATAAATTATTTAGTTAGAGCTAGTTTCCTGCCTCTTGTTTTGTTTTAGTACTGCCTGATGAAGCTGTTCTCCCATTGTGGCCAGGAATGGAGATGAATGAACTTTATTTTATTACGTAGCTTCCGGTTCCTGAATCATTCCTTTCTTAGAGCCAGCAGAACCCACTGTTGGATTTTGGTGGAACTGAGCTTGTGCTAAGGGTGATGGTTTTCAGTGGGGGGTGGGTGATGGAAGGTAGAAGGCCAGGGTCATTCCAGCGAGGTGTGTGAGTGTTATGAGAATCTCACTATAAGTAACCTGTGGGCTGGCTTAGCAGAGTATTTTCTCCTAGGTGCGGTTTGCTATATCTTTTGTTTTTTGTTTTATTTCTGTTTTTGTTTGAAACCAGAAAGTCCTTTGCTGTTTCCTTATTATCCTCGAAAATCATTGCATTTTGTGAAAAGACGGATGGAGAACATTATTGATCAGTGTTTGCAAAAGCCAGCGGTAAGTTTGAAAGAAATGCATGTCTTTGTGTAGAGGAAAGAGTGTCTACAATGTGTGGCTTGTTTAAATAAATAACCAGGGTTATTACCATACGAAATGCTGATATTCAGCTGTGTTTGGCTATCAGAAATGTCATTTTCAGATGGCTCAATCTTGTCCATCTCGATAATTTCTGAGATAAATTTGGAAACTAGATTAGTTGGCATCGTTCGTGTTTTATTTGCTCCCGGAGCACTGGTCATGAATGTCTGTGCAGAGCTCATGTGTCCCGTGACACACACAGCGGGGTGTGTATGAGTGGTTAGGAGACTGGGGAAGCCGACCTGTCCCCTGCTGTGGGGTTGGCGCCTGGCTCTTTTTCATTTCAGAGTTGTCTTCCTCTTGCTGTTTTCACTGTCATCAGTGTTTCTCGTATACAGGGTGGGGTGATGTGGATGATTTTTTACTACACTTGGACAGTAATGGGCGCAATTTCTGTAGCATATCTCTGTTCCTGTAAGTGCTTTCGTGTTTTTATTTTATTTTTTGTGGTGCTGGGGATGAAACCTAGGGCCTCATGTGTGCTATGAAGACACACTAGCCCTGAGCTCATCTTCAGCCCCTCTAATTATGTTTTTAAATCTCATTTTATATAGGATGTAATTGGAAAATCGATGAATCAAGCAATCTGTATCCCATTATATAGAGATGCTAGAAGGTAATTCGTTTTATCTGTTGAGTGGTATAATCTAGCAACCAATTTAAATTTTTCTCACTTCTTTTCCTTTTTGTTTTAGTGAAGAATCTGCACGTAGATTGTTCAAATTTCCTTTTCTGTAAGTGCATTTCTCCCTTATCTTGTGTGAACAATATGCTCTTATCCTAAGCTTAGTCAGCTAAATACCATATTATAACATTAAATTATTTCCTTAGGTGGAATAATAAAGCTTCAAACCTGCATTATCTTCTTTTTACTATTTTAGAAGATTCACTGTATAAAATGTGCATCTTAAGGAGACATACTGATATTTCCCAGTAAGTATTAATTTGAAGTTTGACTTGAAGAAATAAAAGCATATTACATTTAATAATAAAACATACAGCTTCCTGTACAGCATTTCAGTTTTTAATTAAGCTACCTCATGTTTGTCATTTAACTGTTCTCCTTTGCAGTGTCATATCATTAAAATATGGCTGAGTTAGAAAGCTATCTTATCACTTATCCCTTGTTCTAAATTATTCCATTTTTTATTGGTACTATCATGTATGTAAGAGGGTTTTGTTTGTCTGTTTGTCTGTTTGTTTGTTTTCTTGATAACAGGGTCTGTTGTGTAGTTCAGCTGGCCTTGAGCTCACTATGTAGCCCAGGCTGGCCTGGAACCCTGGATGATCCTCCTGCCTCAGCCTCCTGAGTGTTGGGATTATGAGTGTGCACCACTGTGCCTGGCCCTGTATGTAGGAGTTTTGACAACAGTCAGGATTATATCTCTTGAACTTGTAGAAGTTCAAGACTGTATTATTAGGTACTTCACAGCGTTTTCACTTTGAGTTAAGCGTGCCTTTCATGCTGGGTGTGGTGGTGCATGCCTGTAATCCCAGCACTCAGGAGGCTGAGGCAGGAGGATCGAGACCAGCCTGGGGTACATAGTGAGTTCCACGTCAGTCTTAACTACATAGTGAGACCCTGTCTCAAAAACAAAACAAAACAAAACAAAACTAAGCATGCCTTTCATTACACAAGAGGGCTCACCCACAGAGCTTTGCTTTGAGGTTAAAGTTGTAAAAGGTCAGTCATATTCAGGTTACCATTTGGATCTCAGTTGTCCTAGGACCAGGATATAGCCAAGAAGAAACATCTGTCCCAGATGTCTTTGTTAAAGTATCTAGCTATTTTGGGACTGTGAGGTTCTAAACTGCGTAGTTTATCTGTCTGGGTTTAAACTAGAACTATTTTCTACAGTGAGAGTAGTGGGACTGTGGGCTGGGATCTAATGTTTAGGTGAGTGTACTAACACTACCAATCGTGTTCTTTCAAGCATTTACATTATTGGCTGTCCAAGTTGTTCCACATAGTCTTCTTTTCCCCTTTCTTTCTTCAAGATCTGTAACTAATGGACTGATTGCTATTAAATTTGGGAGTTTCACATATGCCACAACTGAAAAAGTCAGAAGAAGGTAAGTCTTGACCCTTGTGTGGGTGCCATAAAGATTGTGTGTGTGTGTGTGTGTGTGTGTGTGTGTGTGTGTGTGTGCGCGTGTGTGTGTGTGTGCACGCGTGCGGGTGCACTCATACATGTGTTCAGTTAATGTGGTCGACCCAGTTACAGGATGGTATGGGCACAGGACCTGTATGAATTCTGTGCATACACGATCATTTGCCTCACCCAGATAATTGAATGGAACGTCACTGCCCTGCAGGAGTTTATGTGGTGAATTTTCCTATAATTAATTCTTCTGAGCTCAGTGTCTGATAAGAAAGTAATGTGGCCTAAGGAGGCAGTTAACCACTAAGGCTGAAATTCTTGTTATCACCCGGAATGATGAACAGTGGTGTTCTTACCAATCTGGTATTTTCTTAGGGTGCAGAGGGTAGCAGTACCTAAGCTGTCTGCTTGGCCTTACAGGGAACAGCTGATGCAGCAGGCTGATTCATGCTTCTTCCTTACATATAAGACTCTTAATGATAGTCTTTGGAGTTATGTCTCTTTCATGTGTGAAATCTTATTTTTACTTTCCATTCTGGCTAACTCGAGGTATATATTTGGTGTCACTCACAAAACTCTCACAGCCTTAAGACCTTACCGTTGTCCAGAGTTATCTGGAACTGAACCAACTCCACCAAGTTCTTTTTTTTCATAATTACCTATTTTTAAGGCCTAGTTTTATTTGTGAATAACTAACACAAAAAGTAACTGTGACTTTACTACAATCTAGTGGTATGTTTTAATTATCATTGTAGAGAATGTCACTTAATTTTTTAAATTACTTTTTTCTCCATTACCAATATAATACTTGCACTGTTTTCTCAGTCGTCACTATTATTTTTGATATAACAGAACTTCTGTCACTTGTAGCACCTACAGCTGTTTAGATGCCCAATTCTATGATGACGAAACGGTAACAGTCGTTCTTAAAGACATTATAGGACGTGAGGGGAGAGACAGGCTGCTGGTCCAGTTGTCGCTGTCTTTAGTGTATAACAGTGAAGATTCTGCAGAGTATCAGTTCACTGGGACCTACTCCAAAAGGTAACTTACTTATGTGTTAAATTGCTTGATACAACAATTAGCTAGTTTTTCGCATACTTGAAGATTCTATTTTTTAAATGTGCTAGGTAATGGTTTTCTAGTTACTTGTGATAACCATAGAGACATCGGAGCAGAAATACTCTATTTTTTATTAAAAAAATGCTGGCCTTAGTAGTTCTCCTGCTTATCCCTTAACAGTAAATCCAGAAGCGTTAGCTTAAACAAAACGGGGAATTATTTGGAGTGGAGAATAGGCCTTTAGAGCTAAACTTTTAAGGGTAGCTTTACCCTACTTTGTAGTGGAATTAATGATTTTGTATTTGCCTTTAGTATTTCTCAGAATTAGGGCCTCAGTAACCATGCAGAGAACAGGGCCTATTTCAAGGATGGCTTTAGATGGCTGAGCAGTAAGTAACTAGATTCCTTTTCTGATTTAAAAGTTAGCTATTTGCTTTCTTTGAAAGCTTCAAAAGCTTCCTAAGATGATGCTCTGCCTCTTTAGAATTGCAGTGTTTCTATGGAATATCACGTCCTAGGCTTTCTTCACGGCGGCTGCTAGGATAATGCTGGCGACAGGAACATGTGCATTGCCTAGGTGCCACCGCTGGGAATCCAGGGAGGAGATCCCCTTTAATTCCTGCTTGGTTTCTTTCTCCCTCTAGGCTAGATGAACAATGCAGTATCATTCCCATGCGTACCATGCATTTTGAGAAGCACTGGAGGTTACTGGAAAGTATGAAAGCGCAGTATGTGGCTGGGAATGGTTTTCGGAAAGTGTCCTGTGTGGTGAGTATTTGCAGGGTGTTCGCCAACAGTGACAGCTGGAGTTGACATTGCTTCCTTGTGGTACATAAATACATGGTATACAAGGCCCTTTCATTGAGACCTTTTGGTATTTGTAGTTTTTCTTGCTTGCGAGGCTTAGCTGTTTAGTTCTCTGGTTATGAGTAAGCTAAGTTGTTAAGAATAATTCTGGATTGTAGTAATCTCATGAGATTCCTGCTGCCATATCTGGAAATCCTTTTATGTAAAACACAGACTGAGTTTCGTGGTTTTACAACAAATTAGTAGTGATACAACTATTAAAAACATTCTTTGGTTCAAGCTTCTAAGTCGTTAACAAAATGTATCTGTTAAGCCATTAATGAAAAAGCTCCCGTGTGGCCTTTTCTCCAGTTAAGTTCCAATCTCCGTCACGTGAGAGTATTTGAAATGGACATCGACGACGAGTGGGAGCTGGACGAGTCTTCGGACGATGACGAGGAGGTGGGGGGCAGGGCCGTGAAGATAAAGGAGGAGGTGCTGTCCGAGTCGGAGGCCGACACCCCACCGGCTGCCCCCACTGCTGCTCTGGCCCCGGAGGTCCTTAAGGCGGAAAAACTGACCCCTGAGCTGGATTCCTGACCCCACAGACCAGGACTTTATGTTCCCGCGGCAGAAAGGATGCAGGAGGTGGGCCGAGACACTCTGACCCACTCTTGATTTTCTTTGTGTAACAAAGAAATAAAAGTAAATTTTATTTTTTCATATTTTTTGCTGAGCTCTCTTTTTAGTGTGATGTGCAGAGCAGGTGTTTAAAGAAAGCACAAGCTGACTGTGAAGAGAGAAAGGTCAGTCTTTTCCATCAAAAGAGTTATTCCCACTTGAGGAAGAATTCAGTCATTATCCACTGGAAATTTTAATCCATTATTTTTAAAACTTAGACAACATTTATTATTTTTCCACCTTCTCATTCTAGTTCATTTTGGGTCTCTAGAATACTTTGAAACTAAAGTTAGGAAATAAATTATACTGATTTACTTTAAGTCAAAAAATGGATCCTCCGTTTTATGGTTTAAATAGCAAAAACATGGCTGAATTCTTTGAATTGGCAGGGATTAGATCTGTCCTTTTCCCTTTGATCAAGGACATACAGTAGCTTTCTGTTTTGACCACGAGGGAGCATGAGAAATACGGATCAACTAAACATAGTCCAGCGTAGTACAGATGAGTCCATGTTGACTTCCTAATGCTCATTACTACAGTAGAATAGTATTTTCCAGTGGCTTTCAGAAACGTCCCATTTTATCTATGAATTCTAATACCACTTCACTGATAAATGAAAAGATCATTTTCTGAAGCTTTAAAAACCTTCAGACACTGTAATGCTAGCACTTAGGAGGCAGAGGCAGGAGGATCAATTGCTACAAGTTCGAGGCCAGCCAAGGCTATATAGTTTAAGGCCAGCCTGAACTTCGCAGTGAGACCTTGTCTCAACCAAGAAAAAAAAAAGAAGTTTAAGGCAAGAATACATAACCAGATAAGGAGGTGACTGTAAGGTTTGTCAGTGTAATGGGTGGGTATCTTACATTTGGGTTTAAATTAAATCTTAATTAAGTCAGAATTACAGGAGGCCATTGTTTGGAGTAGGCTCCTGCACTGGACCCTGGACAGACCAGACTGAAAATCAAAATGGAGCCACCCGTGCTAAAGTTCCACATCAAAAACTGAAGTTATCTGACCGGAGAGCTCAGAAGAGAGAGACTCAATTCCCAAACATCAGTTTCAGTTAGCATGACAGTGAAATACTCTGCCTTCGTCCTTACCAAAAAGTAACCTGATGTTAAGTAATCAGTTATTTTTCTGTTCTGTCTCCTTATAAGTCAAAATCATCCGTTTGTTCCTGCTGTATTTTCACCCCTTCTTTGTCTATAAAACCAACCTCTTCTGCTCATCCCATCAGAAGACTTACTCATTTTATGAACTGTTGGCTCTCCAGGGGGCCTCTGTCGGTCTCTGGTCTCTGTGGGTCTGAAGAGAAAACTGAGGGGGAGTTGATGTGTGTGCAGGCGTGGCGAGGTTTGGACTGCGGTCTTCAGGAGCCAGACTGGGCCAGCCCAGACCCTTGCCTCACACGAGGTTTTCCACTTGGTCAGTACACAGTTTCCATTAGCGTCAGTGCTTGTGGTATAGTGTAGAATGTCATAGTTTAGCTTCTGTAAGCAGGAGAGGACCACATGGAAAAATAACAGGTTTTAGATATGTAAAGCATTTTAGAATAAACACACTTACCACATAACTTTGATGGATTTTGGGTGCCAAATAATTACAGCTTATTCTTGGAATGAATTATGATTTCATATTAAACAACCAGTGTTTTCATTAGTAATCTGTCCCGTGTGATTTAAACATTTGATGTATAAAGATTTTTTCCTGTGTGTACATTTGCTTCATTTTTAATTCACATGGAGCACAGGGAAGTAGCACAGTTCCAGCACAGATACAGGTTGAAACCAGAATTCCCAGACTCTTATCTTGAACCAGGGATCAGTACTACTTCTGTTGATGGGCCAGCCGTCTCTAACAGTGAGGTAAATTAATGTGAGCGTTCACCATGACCAGAGAGGCTCTTGTTTTGCAGTGTTGGGGATGCAACCCAGGGCCTCACACTTACTAGGTAAGTGCTCTGCCCCTGAGCCACATCCCCGCTTTTTGTTAAAGGTTTTAATATGTTTAGGAACCGAATTTGTTTTATATCCAAGTTTCAAAGTCTAAGCTGGGGCTGGGGATATAGCTCAGTGGTGCCACGCCTGCCTGGCAAGCACAAAGGTCTGAGTTGTTGGTACCAGAAAATTGATAACCACATCTCTAACAAGATGGATAGGACAGAGGGATGAAGCAGCTGAGTGTGAAAGCCCCGGTACTGGAAAAAAAAAAGTCGGTGACCACAGCGAAGCAGACACAGTGTTGCAGGGTCTCACTTTGTAGTGCAGGCTGGCCTTGAACTCACTATGTATCCTACATTAGCCTCAAACTCCTGGCAGCACTCCTGCCTCAGCCTCCCACATGCTGGGATTACCAACTCATGCCACCATGCCCATCTAAGAATTTAATTTTAAATAGAAATTGTATAGGACAGTGAGTAGGAAATGAATTCTATGCTTCAGCGTTCTCTGTAAAGATTTGGCTCTTTGGCTCAGTCTTGGAGCTTCCAGTCACCGTTTGGTCCCACCTGGAGTCCCAGAGCCTTGGCACCCACATCTGCACCTGATTTCTCAGGATGAGAACACAGCCCACTGACTAAGAGCAGGCCAAACAGAGCCTGCTGGACAATGAGACCATAGGCATCACTGCTCTGCATGACCTGCCGACCCTGATCAGCCATGAATTATTCATGGAGGCCTCCCTGGAGAACAACGAGATCCTGAAGATAATGGTGCAGGCCTGGCCTTTACCCTGCCTCCCTTTCAGGTCTGTGATGGTATTGAGGAAATCAAAGACCCCACACACACGCAGGAAGTATTCACAACAGAGAAATGTACGGACCTTGGAAGCCCTACTGGATTTGACATGCAGCTGTCCCAGAAGGTTCACCACAGGCATGCCTAAAAAAATATAAAATACATTTGGAACCAGAAGAAACCTAGAATAGCATAAGCATTTTAGACAACAGAGATACAGCAGGGGATATCACAGTCCCCAACTTGAAACTACTACAAAGCCACTATGATAAAAACAGCATAGTACTGGCAAAGAAACACCCAAATCTATTCAGTGGAATAGATTAGAAGATGCAGAAACAGCTCCAGATGTACTCAGCTACCTCATCTTTGACAAAGGAGCCAACCATCCTCACTGGAGGAAATGGTGTTGGAAAAGCAGGCTTTCAACTTTCCAAAGATTAAAACTAGAGACCCCTATCTTTCACCACGCACTAAACTAAAATCCAAGTGGATTAAAGATCTAAATATGAAAAGGGACACTAAACTTGTTGGAAGATAAGTTGGGTAGAACTCTTGAAGACATTAGCATAGGAAAGGACTTTATGAACAAACCCTCAGTAGCACGGGAACTAGAACAAAGAATCAACAACTGGGATCTCATCGTTTTAAAAAGCTTCTGTACTGCAAGAGAAACCACCAACAGAGCTAAGAGACAACCTGCAATGTGGGAAAAAAATTTTACCAGCTGTTCCTCAGGCAAAGGTTTACTATCTAGAGTATATAAAGAACTCGGACAAATCAGAGCCCCAAATATAAAGATGCAATTCAAAAATGGGCATCTGAAATGAACAGACATTTCTCAGACAAAGAAGTAAAAGGAGCAAGTAAATATATGAAAAAATATTCAACATTACTGGTCATTTGAGATACGCAGATGAAAACAACACTGAGATTCCACCTCACCCCACAAAGAATGGCTGCTATAAAGAAATCACACAATAACAAATGTTGGCAGGGTTGTGGGGAGAAGGAACCCTCCTCCATTATTGGTAGGAGTGCAGACCAGGGCAACCACTACGGAAATCAATATGGAGATACCTCAAAGAGCTGGGACTAGAGGTTCCATTTGACCCACCTATTCCCCTGCTGGGTATCTTCCCAAAAGAATTAAGAGTCTTATCACAGTGATATATGCTCACCCATGTTTATAGGGCACAGTTTATAATAGCTAAAACTTCCAAACAGCCCAATTGCCCATCAACTGGAACCTGGATAAAGAAGATGTATTTTTTTACAAAATGGAGTACTAATCAGCCATAAAGAACGAGAAACTTGAGACATTTATAGCTAAATGGATGCACATTGATGCCACAGTCTTAAGTGAAATTAATAAGAGAGATGTATAAATACCATATGGTTTCTCTGGTATGATAAACTGAGGGTATAAATAAGGATCAAAATGTATAATTGATATTGTGTAATAGGAAGAAAGTCTAAAGGTATAGGGAAAATGGGAAGGGTAGCAGAAAGGTAAGAAGGGAAAAGAAAAAAGAAAAAAAATGGAAACAAAGTCTTTATAAATAGAGAAGGGTGGAGGGGGTGAAGGGAGGCCAGGGGAATGGGGAAAAAATAAAAACCATGTCATGTAAAGGTACAAGATTCCAGTGATGAATGTAACTATTGTATACCTAAAATGTACCAATTTTAAAAAAAGCAACATTGATAGAACAAATAATTGTCTTACTGCATTATTTTTGATACATTTTAGATATACATAATGGTAACATTTATCATGCAGAATTTGTGCCTGTACTTGACATATCTTGCTGCTTTTTTCCCATCCGCCCCCCTCCTGCCACTTCAATCTCTCTTACCCTCCTTATTTACAAAGGCTTTGTTTCCATTTTTTTCTATTATTTTTTTCTTTGTCCATTCTTTCCTTTCCCGCTTTCCTCCCTCCCTTGTTCCCATCCTCATTTGAACATTTTCTTCCCATTTTTCCAACATCTGTTAGACATTTTAGTCCTTACTTCACTTTCAGTTTCTCACACCAGAGAAACAATGTGGTGTTTAAACTTGTGTGTGTGATTTATCTCAAGAGTATGGTCTCAACACGCATCTATTTAGCTATAAATGTCCAAGCTTATCCTTTATGGCAGAGTAGTACTCCATTGCATTAAAAAAAAAACCACATCGCTGGGGGTGGTGGCACATGCCTGTAATTCCAGCACTCAGGAGGCTGAAGCAGGAGGATCGCTGTGAGTTTGAGACTAGCCTGAGCTACATAGTGAGTTCCAGGCCAGTCTCAACCACATAGTG